GGGAAACCCCGGCCCCGGGGGCGGGGGGGGGGGGCCCGCCTCTGCCTGCCGGCGGTGGCCCGGGCTCCCGGGGGTCTGGCGGGTGGGTGGCCAGCCCGCCTCCCCGGCCCCGGCGCCCGTCCTGCTCGGGCACAGGCTCCCCGTCGGTACCCTGGGTTGCACTCTGCGTTTCTCGCTACAGCTGGGAGTGTCATCTTCTTCGTCAGCCACGGGCATGGCATTTCTTGCCAAAGACTAAGAGATGGACAGCGTATTTTAAATACTTTTTTCCCCTTGAGGTTTTTCGGTTTGTTTAATTTGTTTTTTGGTTTTTTTTTCTTCCCCCAAAGAAAGACATCTGTAGGCTGCAAACTTATTCCCCCGCGGTGCATGTGGCAGTTCTTGGATCCTGGCGGGATTTCAGGCGGCTTCCCTGCAGCCTGGCAGCGCGGGAGCGGCGGCTCGCTCTCTCGGAAAGCCTCTGCACGCTCCTCAGCAGCATAACGCCAGCAAAGCGGGGATGAAGTTGGCCTTGGCCTTAGGAGCCTTTAGTATTCCAGCCAAAATACCACATAGGTAAAAGACAAATGGCATTCGAGCAAATAATGTACTGAGGCTGCTGAAGTGGGCAAAAATTTGGGTTTGGTGTATGTGTTGCTCAGCTACATTGCGCATTAGTTCCATTAGCAAGCACGCAGCCCTTCGAAACCGACCTTGGGAAATGGGAAGCGTCATTGATTTTTTACCAAGATAAAATACTGAGGCAGCTTTCATTGGTTTAACATCTACATGGGTCTACGCTTTATTATCAACAGCTTCAGGAATACGTTTTGCAGCTTTCTGTATGACGCATCTTACAAACGACCCGCGATGCGCCTGGCTTGTGGTGGGCGAGAGCACAGGGGCCATCGCGTTGCAGGGTGGGTTGGACGACGACGCCCCGCCGCAGGCAGCCAGGAGCAGGCAGGCGGCCCAGGCACGCTGCGTGCCGAGCACAGCACTGCCTCGGTACGTGACAAACCCCCCAACACCGGGCTGAAGGCTCTTTCCTTGGGTTCTGGAGAAAACAACCGCAGCTCGTCAACATGGCACATGTTCACAGATTTCCTCTCTTGTCAAATTTTGAGGGGGATTTAATTACTTGATCATTCGAAACTAAATATTTTTGAAGACAACATTAAATTTTTGAATCTTCGTATGTGAAACACCAACAGTAGTAACTCAGTAATACCTGTAAACATACAATGTAAAAAAAACCCATTACAAAGCAGTTATGGTTTCTCTTAATCTAAAATAAGGCTCACAATAGTTATCATATGTCACGTTGCAACAACTCAAAATGCCATTTTGCCATCCTGTCTTTTGAAACCATTTGCATTCCTTAAAATACACATGTTGGGAAATATCTGTGTACAAGTTGCAGAGCAAGATGTAAAACCATTACAGAATGCTTTTGGTTGGGAAAAACGACAGACGAGACGG